AGGGGCAGGGAGATGCTGTAGGGGCAGGTGTGTGCTGTAGGGGCAGGTGTGTGCTTTAGGGGCAGGTGTGTGCTGCAGGGGCAGGGAGATGCTGCAGGAGCAGGGAGATGCTGCAGGGGCAGGGAGATGCTTTAGGAGCAGGGAGATGCTGCAGGGGCAGGTGTGTGCTGCAGGGGCAGGTGTGTGCTGCAGGAGCAGGTGTGTGCTGCAGGGGCAGGTGTGTGCTTTAGGGGCAGGGAGATGCTGCAGGAGCAGGGAGATGCTGCAGGAGCAGGGAGATGCTGTAGGGGCAGGTGTGTGCTGCAGACCCCAGCAGCCAGGGCCTTTTGGGAACCCCTGACCCCAAACTGCAGAGCTTTTCCCTGGATACCCTGTGTCCCACAGCCAGGAGCCAGCACAGCCCCTGTGTCACTCTGTGTCACCTCAGCAGAGCCCTCTGTGCCCGGACACAGCAGCCCCCTCTGGGAAAACATCTCCCTTCAACCCAGTGTCCCCGAGGAGGGCCCTGCTGACTCTTTTATTGTGAATTTTTTCCTTTTTTGAGCACAGAAAATGTTCCTCTTGCTGCTGGTCAATGGTGCAGCTCTCGCTGTGCTGCCTCCTGACCTTACTTTTCCTTTTGAGGCAGGATGGGGATTTTCCAGCTCCTGGTATCATTTATTTTGCCTCCTGCCTTTCTGCCCTTTCTCTTCCTTTCTCAATCTGGCTCTAAAATGCCTTTTTCTTTTTTTTTTCCCTGCTTCTAAATGTTTCTCTCCCTGCCTGTTCCGTGTGCTTTTCTGCTGCCTGCAGCTCTGCTCCTGGGGGTGTTCTCCTGCCTCTGACATTTCTCCTTGGATCACAGAAAAGTTTTACCAGACTCAGTAGAAAATCTATTTTAAATCTGTACTCATTTATTAGGATTTGGATCCATGTAATCAAAAAGCATTATTAAGAATCTCATTTTAATTATTTTAAATAATGGCAATAATTGAAACGAGAGAAGAGCTGATGCTGCCTTTATGAGCTGAAATTCATTTCTAAAATATCACTATTGTTTTCTTGTTCTGTGCTAACTCTTGAAAAATTAATAGATTGTTGCACTAATATCTGACTGCTGGCCAAGCAACCAGAAAAAATAGTGACTCAGAATTGCTCACTGATATGGATTTTTAGAACAGCTAGTCCAAAAACCTCAGGAAATATCTTATTTGAAATGTAATTTTTAAAGGGGCTAAAGAGTATCTCTATTTTGTTTATGCCAACAAACAGGAGTTAACATATAGGAAATTATTGAAATCAGAATGTCTTATGGAACACATAATTTTGCCCCTGATTCACTGAATTGCATTACAAATTTAAGACAGTTTATGGGCAGGTAAAACAGAGCCCCAGGCAGTCAGGAATCAGTACTTGAATGTCCTTGTTAATGTGTGCTGGAAATATGGACAGGGTGCAGAGCACAAGCTCTGTTTGTACACTCATAAATATAAATACTTGAATTTTATTTTCAACATTTTTTATGGCAAAAAGAGCAGGGAAGCACCAATTCCAGCAATCTGGTCTTAAAATCCTAACTGTGGAGGGGAGGCACCATCAGCACTTTGCTCTGTCCCTCTGTCCATCCTGGTGTGCTCCCAGTGGATCTGGGTCTCTGCTCCTGTCCCTGCCCCAGCCCTGCCTGGGCTGTGTCAATGAACATTGATTTTTTTTCCCTGCATGGATTTCTGGATGGATTTCTGGTTGGCAGTGGGCAGTGCCCAAGTTCATGACCCATTTCTCCCAGGCAGCCTCAGCAGGATCTGCAGTCCATCCCTGCAGGGTGGGCTGTGGGAACGGGAGAAACCCCCCAGGAAAGCTCAGGGTGGTCAGGAATTCACACTGGGCAGGGGTTGCTGCTCCAGGAAATCTGGGGAAATGTCACTGGGACACGCTGGAATGTGCCTTTCCTGAGGGTCTAAGGCCACTGGGCTTTTGGTGGGGTTACACCAAGGATGGTGCCTCAGCTGCAGTTCCAGGGATGCAAGCACTGCAGAACCCCCCCAGAACCCATTGCTGACCTGTAAAGAAAGTTCTAATTCAAGAAGAAACTAAAACAAAAGGAGGAAACTCCTGGTTTTTATTTCTATTGCCACACCACCTATTAGCCAGGTTCCAAATGCAAATTATTAAAGGCAGGGAGGGTTTGTTATGTTGTGCATCAGCCCTTGACATGATTTTTACATTTACTTTTCTTTTGAAAGCAAGCTGAGTTCAGATAGGAAATTTATATGACAATCCTGGCTGGAAAAGATTCCACACTGAAACATGACTTGCAGTGGGAAAGAAAAAAAATGCAAGAAATGTGAAAAGGGAATAATAAGAGTGTTCAATACTCCCATGCAATATGGTGATATAGAAGTGTATGTATTTTACCTGAAAGTTAAATAATTTCAAATGTTAAAGTAATCTCCTTTATGAAAGGGTAAGATCAGAGTGCAAAAGGTGAGAGGAGCTTTCTCAGTAGGAAATAAAGTCCAGGCACTGTCTGGGGCTTGCTGAGGGGTGAATTCATGTGCTGTGAAATGCAAAGTCACAGGTGAGCTTTACTTTCAGCTTCAGTTCTTTCACCATTCTGGAGAGACATTTCTGAGTTGTGCTTTAATTATGAAGAAAATTGGGAATGATGGCTGTGGGGAAAAAGTCCAATCTGGAACATCAAAGTCCTTTCTTGCTAGGGTGGTCAGAAACTGCTCTGCAATTATTTATTTGAAGTGACCTAAATAACATTTAGGGACAAAAAATTGTGGGCCACTTGGATTTGGACTGTAACTTTATTGAAGTTGAAATATTAATTGGGATATCTATTGGAGGACTTGTTGCAGAGAGGCTGAATCTGCAGAAGTAGCAGGGTCTGGGGAAAAGAACTTTTTGACAGAGAGTAAAGTATACTGGAAGCAAGAAAAAGGAAGAATTTTTGAGCAGCATGGCTTGCTGTTCAAATCTGCAAATAAATTTAATTTAATTAGGACAGTATTGGAGTCAGTATATTGTTAAAGCCAGAACGAATTAAAATATAAACAGGGAAGAAAGACAGATAATGAAAGGATGAAAAATGAATGGGAAATGAAAAGAATGCTCCAATAGAGATTGTATCTCAAGTAATTAAAAGTACTGTTAATTCACAGGCATTCAATTTGTGAAATAAGGCCTTGTGCAGGGGAGAAATTTCAAGGAGAAATGAAGATTAGAAACTTGGTCTGCAGTTTCTGCACGGCCACAATCCAGGCAGGGTGGGGT